AAGAAGTGACCCCTGCTATTGGTATGTATTATATTAATAATTATTTATTAGCTTATTTTAAATAATATTATTAAGAGACTAGAGAGAGCACTCAAGAAGAGAAACAATCAAAGAAAGAAGATAGAGGAGGAGGTTAATAAATGTAATAATACTATCATTGTCTTTTTAAATAGTTCGACAAAGAACTCATAATGTTGATCAATCTCAGCAGCAGCAGCAGTAGCTTGCTTCTCAGATTTCACAAACCAAAAAAGGTTTTGAGAGAATGAGATTATCATAGATGTTATTTTTACTCTGTATAGGTGGTTTCTTGGAAAATTATAGGAAAGAGATCGGCTTTACCTTAACATTATCATTTTCCTATCTTTTATATTATATTGCTTCCCCGACTTTAAAGGTCCAATAATAGGTAAGTAAAGTTCAGCAGCTGATATTATTAAAGTTTATGATTATGATTATATTTATATAATAGAATGTATAGTATGCCTATATTATGTGTGGTTCCTAACTGCTTATAACCAGATATTTATTTGATAGGAGCCTTCGTCACTATTGCAATAGGTGCGTTGAGTGGATTGGTTAATCATTGCTTGAAATCTAATGTTCCTGGTTCTGCTGGTAAGTGAATATTATGTATACATTGCATATTATTATGTTATAGATATCAAAATTGAGCCTTTAACAACATTGACTCAATCGACATAATTTCATGAAAGGAACAATAACTATTAATTTACATTTTACTTGTAATACCCTAAACTAGGAGTGTGACTTGTTTGTTTAAAAAAACTAATTAAGCTAAAAAGTAGCAGTTATTGAAACAGCTCACAGACAATTGCAGGAAGTGCTGTCATTATGGTTGAGACGAGGAAGAGCAACTTTGATCAAATTAGCTACAGCACTTGAAAACATTAAAGAATATAGAGCAGCAAGTGAGCACAAGGATATTTATTCATTTTTTATATGCATGTATTTATGTTGCGTAGAAATTTTGAGTTGATTTTAATCACATTTGAATTTTTTGCAAATTTTTAAAGTTGCTAAAATATTGGACAAAAGTCCCTGTACTTCATACAGGAATTTTGGCAAAATTTGCCAAAAATTAAAAAGAAGAGAATTCTTCATTTTAAGTACATTTTCTAATACATAGACATGTACTTATGTTGTGCAAAAGGTTTGAGCTAATTCCAATCAAATTCGGATTTTGTTGTGAAGGCTAAAGTTACAGATATAGACTCTAACTTTTATACTTTATAATAAATTCATTTTTTACTAAAATTGAGTAACCATAAGAGTTGAAGGAGATGGACCATATGTAGTTTTTGTATGGTCACCTCTGGATATGGAGATGACGTCAGCCACATGGTTAGAGTAAATGGAACGGTTGTGTATGGTTATGGACAACCACGTGGCTATGATGACATAATTTTTTAATTTTATTTTTATTTTTATTTTTATTTTTTTGTTTGTTATTTTTATTTTATTGGGGCGAGCCTGAGTGAGTCCCACATAAATGAGACAAGTATGTTTGTTTTTTTGTCTATATGTACACAGCCAAGAATTGTTAATTTGAATCATAACTGATATCAATCAGGATCAGCCTAATAGATGACTATATCATTCATTTTGGGCAGCCTGCAAGGCAATAGGCCACTCCAATAAGATTCACAGTTTCCCATTACATAGGCGGGTCTGATGCAGGTGGGCGGGTTTGTTCATTTTCATTAAATTTATTAATTATCAGCTGTATAAACTGCTTGTATATAATCAATGCAAAACCGCAATAATGAATAGTCATGCGGCCCCATGCAGGTGGGTAATGGGAACGATCATCCATGATACAACCATGCTGGAGTACGGCCCTGGCTTAGCCAGAGCAACAGACATGATTCAACATTGATGCCAGTCAGGGCTGTATCAAAATAGGCATCAGGCTTGAATCATTGATTTTGGGTAGTGGCCTATATCAGAGATGATATGTCACCCCTATTAACACCAGTGAGTGCTAATTAATCAAAAAATAAAACTTTTAATTGATACAATTAACACCCATTATTGGTGCTAATAATATTTAATGTGTAAGTTAAATTAATTAACACTTCAGTGAGTGTTAATTAGTGCTGATTAGTGTGT